CCCCCCTCCTTCTCTGAGTATGCTTGAGCTGGGAACTCTTGTGTTGGATAATCATAATCCCAATTGCTTGATCTCTATAGATCCATTGTGGGTACTTTTAATTAAAGGATCTATAAATAACTATACCTTCCTTCATTTTAGTTATTCCTCACAGATCAAAGATACCTTCAATCCCTGGATACGGTTACCATGCGGGATATCGAAAATTATAGATTTAAAGGGACTGTAAGTGTGATTAAAAGATAACAATGCCCGATTTACAACGTTAATCTAAAAATCTTAAGATTTATTACTCGAAAGTGTTTGTTTCTTCAGACAAAGCTGGTAATTCAATTTATTGTAAAGCGGGCTTTGCTATCTTTGCTTTGATATTACGCATACCGCCCCTTTAATCTCATTAAATAAAATCTTGAAATTTAAGATCTGCTGGTCCTATAGCTGCCTGGTGCAAGAAGGACGCGTGCGCAGATCCCGTGGTTGGTTGTGAAAACATATTCATGGATGTTCAGGTAGGAAAGATGCCTTACACTGTCGTCTTTGCTTTTTAGAGTCATTAAATTTGTTTAGAGTTTTATATATGAAAGTTGCGATTTTTTAACGGTTTTTTTTGTCCAAAGACAAGGAAATAAAAAATATAGATTTTCTTTAAATTTTCTTATATGCATTACCCTCTGTGTGGAACAGGAAGACGATACTTAAGAAAATTTATGCTTAATTGATTTTGATGTTGTAATGTTGCAAGTAGCTTTACCTACAGCTTGAAAATAAAGTTATTATGTTCATCGGGCTGATCCAAGTCATATCTTTAGTCTAACAGTCGTCTTCCTAATCCACACTCCACAGCTGTATGGTTCCCACTGTAAGTAAGGAAATGATTGATTAAATCCTATTTCTGTTGTAGTCTGCTAAAGATTTGGAGAAAAGGTATCCAGGACGGATTTTCCTAATCCGGTATGAAGATCTAAGTGTAAGCACCGAGGAGGTGGCCAAATCTTTACTCCGGTTCCTAGACCTCCCCTGGACCCCGGAGATGACCAACTTTATCGTGACGCACACCTCCATGGATAAGAAGGAGATTGTGAGGAATAGGGTGACCAAGAAGGTGAAGAAAGAAACCAGTCCTTACTCCACCAGCAGGAATTCTACTGCTACAGCTTTCAAGTGGAGAACTAGTCTAGACTGGGGGAATATTACTACTATACAGAATTCATGCAGGTATTACAGAACGCTATAAATGTCGTCTTTGTTTGAATTGTCCATCAATATGCATCAGGGTTACCCATAACGAATAAGACTGTATAAACGTCCCGAATCTATTAAAATATGATGATTTTAAGACTTTTGCCTTCAGTCTTTTATTGGCTTCCTAAGTGATTTTTCAAAGGAATGTAAACAGATAGTTTGGTGTTCCTACAGTCGTCTCTGTAAACAGATAGTTTGGTATTCCTACAGTCGTCTCTGTAAACAGATAGTTTGGTATTCCTACATTCGTCTCTGTTAACAGATAGTTTGGTATTCCTACAGTCGTCTCTGTAAACAGATAGTTTGGTATTCCTACAGTCGTCTCTGTGAACAGATAGTTTGGGGTTCCTACAGTCGTCTCTGTGAATAGATAGTTTGGTTTTCCTACAGTCGTCTCTGTAAACAGATAGTTTGGTGTTCAAACAGTCGTCTCTGTAAACAGATAGTTTGGTATTCCTACAGTCGTCTCTGTAAACAGATAGTTTGGTGTTCCTACAGTCGTCTCTGTAAACAGATAGTTTGGTGTTCCTACAGTCGTCTCTATTAAGTCTCATTCGTCTCATCTGATGTAAGTAACCCTGTACAATATGGTTCAATAAACATGCAAGCTCTGAGAGACGGCTTGAAAATCCTCTGTTTTCAATTTGTGTGTTTTAATAAATTTTGATTTTTTTTTAGTAAACTAATGGACTCTCTTGGATATGTCAGCTTGAAGGATGAGTCGGAAACCAAGTCGGAGAAATTTCCGATAACCTTGACGCCTCAGGAGCTCTGGCCATACTGGAGCTAGTTTTTCCCCAACCCTAGAGAAATTCATTCTTTATTCTAAAGTTGGTCTGGAGAAAAATCTTTCTTGTCTTCTTGCCGCTTAGAGATAATTCGTCCCAGATCCATAAATCCGGCGGAAAATACCCTTTTTTACATAATTTAAAAAAAATCGTAATTAAGCAATTCTAAAACCAAATTGTCCCATGAAATATAAACATGGAACTGGATCAATCTTTGTTAACAAACGAAGTGTCATGCAGATTGTTTTCCCCAGAAACTGCAGTACACATCCTTTGTAAACAAACATCCGTTAGATCCCTTGGTGAATCCTGCAAATTTACACCCGGATTGGGTTCTTCCATAATTATCTCCTAATTATGCACTAAACAAGATTCTACATGAAGACAATCACACACCAAGTTTTACAGTGATAACCAGAAAACACCGAAATAGGAAGACGACTTTTAGACGCTGACTGAAAATAGTCCAATGAGCATGCGACACAGCAACTGTGCAGTGTAAACAGACCCATTTAACTTTATTTTTATCATGGATTTAATGAGTGTCTTGTAAAACTATTTGCTTTGTAACGCTAAATACACTTAAGTTTTGCAATATTAGGTCGTCTTCATATTTCAGTGTTTTTTGGTTATCACTGTAGCTAAATGTATTACACTTTTATACTTATTAAACCAAGTTTTATTGGTTTAAAAACAACACTTTTTACCACAACGTTATCACATCTTGCCTATATTTTTAATAATCGTGATAGAACTGTAATCAAGGCCTAATAGATCAGAATGTAACATCATCACATTACACAAAACTTAGTTTTTTAGAAATATAATTTGTTATTTTGATTGTGCCTAAAGAAATATTATTAACTACCCGTCTGTGATAGAGAAGATAACCGCTGTACATGATTGCATTATGTACAAGATTCTTGTACATATATGTACGGATATAATCTTATTAATTATATTAATTAATAGTTTTATATATTTTTTTATTATTTAATAATAAAATTTAATATTGCAAAATTTATTTTATTTTCAAATTTTCTGAAATATTTAATCATGATTCACAAGTACAAAAGAGAAGTTAAGTAATCGGTTTTACAGAAATTTCAGAATTTGTGAGATTGAGAAGAATTAAGTTCAGGAAAAGGTTTAGGGAAAGGATTTAATAAAGCGATAGGATTAAGTATAAGGATAGGATTAAGTATAAGGGTAGGATTAAGTATAAGGATAGGATTAAGTATAATGATAGGATTAAGTATAATGATAGGATTAAGTATAACGATAGGATTAAGGTTAAGGTGAAGAAAAAAGTAATAAACAAAGGATCAAGCTAAGAAAAAGGATTTAAGAAAGAAAAAGGATATTTTACTGGAAAAAGGAAAATGTAAAGGGAAAGGTTTCATTAAAAAGAAAGGCTAAGAAAAATGATATACTTCAGGGAAAAGATTAAGTTAAGGAAAAGGATTAAGTAAAGATAAAGGATTAAGTATACGGATAGGATTAAGTAAAAACAAATGATTAGGTAAAGGTAAAGGATTAAGTAAAGGAAGGGATTAGGTAATGGCAAAGGATTAAAAAGAAGGGAAAGGATTAAGAAAGAAAAGTAAAGGATAAAATTTATAAAACTATTCTTCTTCTCTGTGTATTCAGCCAGGTTCTGGTTTCTCTTGGTAAACTGGATCTAAACAAAAAATATAATTGTTTGGATTAACATTATTTTTTTCTTTGATCGATTAACCTTCTCTTTTCTTATGTAACTTTCAGAAACTTCAGAGCTGGGAACTTTTGATTTCTGGATATCGGGATTAATGCTTGATCCACTCTTTTTCTTTATCTCGAGATTAAATAATGATTGTTTTCCTCTTGTTATTAATCTCCAGATTAATTAAACGATCGGAATTAAGGATATCACATTCTAAAGTTTTAAGCTCAGGAGCGACTTTAATGAAATTACTTTGATTTCAATTCAGAAAAGAGAGGAAGTTTTAAATTATATGTAAACCATGTAGAATGTAGATTTTATTTCAAGTCCTCCTCCGATTCAAATCGTAACCTTGAAAGCTTTGTCTGGTTAAATACGAGTTAGATATCAATGTTCATAAATTTGAAAACTGATTATTCTCAATCGTGGTTTCTCTTCAAAAGTTATTTTCCCAATTCTGCTGCAGGAATACAATGTAGGAATTATCAGAATTAAACACTTTAGAAGCTAGAGAAACGACGTTATCTTCCACAATTTCGATCAGATAAAGGTATCAAGGGTACGGTTGTGAATCGGGCACGCAACTTTTGTAAAAAAAATGTCCCTTGCAATTTCAACGCCAGTCATATTCAATTTCAACTGTGTGTTTAATGTGTTTACCCTCTGGTTTGGAGAGCACTGAGAATATATAGCTCCGAGGAGGAAGGAAGTGTCAGGGGAAACTGGGTCTGCTCAACTTCATCCAGGTTCAGGTTTTCTCCAACTCTGAGTAAAATAAGATAATGGTTGAGTTAAAGATTTTAGCTTCCCTCTAACTCTGAGTAAATATAGGATAAAGATAGAGTTAAAGATATCTAGGTTCCGTCTAACTCTGAGTAAATATAGGATAAAGATAGAGTTAAAGATATCTAGGTTCCCTCTAACTCTGAGTAAATTTAGGATAAAGATAGAGTTAAAGATATCTAGGTTTCCTCTAACCCTGAGTAAATTTAGGATAAAGATAGAGTTAAAGATATCTCGGTTTCCTCTAACCCTGAGTACATTTAGGATAAAGATAGAGTTAAAGATATCTAGGTTTCCTCTAACTCTCAGTAAATATTAGACGATTTGACAAAGAGAGAAACAAGTTTCTAAAGTCTCATTCTTTGTGAGTAGCCCTGTATGTTCTCTTGTATCTTGTACCTTTTAATTTGATTGACCGGCATTATAGCTTCTCCGAGTAGTATCCTATCTCCTAGAGGACCTAGATCCTTGACAGAGAACAATAGATACAGCTTATCCCTGACAAAGATAGGTTTACGACACGTCTATGATAAACAAATTTCTCTACTAAAACAAATGTTTGACTACATTCTTAAAATTCATATACAAAAATGTAAAAATAATTGTAATGTGAAAATACACACCATAATTACTGTGTTTCATACACATTGAACTTTTGAAAATCATAACTTAAGACCTTATTTGATTTTCATGGAATTGGAAAAATATTTGCTCTATAACAAAACATAATACAAAAAGATTGCTAACATTGCCCTTTACAAAAAAAATGTTTATTCTTAAATTTAAAATAAAATAAGCATTTTTGAAATTTTGGAAAATTTACTAAAAAGACGGATTGTTATTCCTGGTTCTCTCATGAGGTAAAATCATATCGAAGGTTTGGTCAAAGATCGGGAACAGAGTTCTTGACTTGGAGACAGTTTTCAGTTTAGTGATTGCAACGCTTCCTCCTGGGCCAGGGACCAGCTTGACGGTCACATAGGGAGAGCACATGCCGTTGTTGACGCTCATATGTGCGCGTACACGAACCTCCTGTACGCTTAACCGTAGGTTTTCCATTTTATCCTTGACCGTATCAACCTTAAGACGGAGTACAGTGAGACCCAGAAAACAGTGGAATTCTCATTGTCTTCGTTTCTCTTTTTGTTAGAAAATGCCGCGGAGTTTTTGTAATTTGCATTTAAACTTTTATAGCAGCTGTAAAGGTAAAATAAATCCTGAGAATATCAGGAGTTGATTGAGCCATAGAAGAGTTCTATCTCATGTTTCTGTCTCGAGATAAAGTTATAGGTATCGTTCAACTCCTGAGCTTCTCAAGTTTCAGTCTATACCCCCTTTCATTTTTCCTTTAGAGTCCCTTTAAATTGGATATTTATAAACAATATGATAAAAAGATTATTTATGTAAAAAATATGGCCTCGTCCTTTCAAAGTTTTCTGGACTCCCAACCCTCCTAATTTTTGTTTGGCAACATCATGTGATTAAAATAATAAAGGTCAGGTTAGGTTTAAATGATACAATGTTAGAAGGGGTCCAGGCGGCACCTATACTCACATTTTATCAAATAATTTCACAATTTTGAAGAAAATTTTTTTTTTTCGTACCTTTGATTCGATGGAACTGGACAGGTTGTATGAAGATTTATTTAACCTAAAAATAGTATTCTATCATAAATATTCATTCATTTATTTATAGTTTGGGGAAACCAATATATGAATAGTAGTTTAGTATTTATTTTCAAACACAAAATAAAAAATAATAATGAATGATTGTTTAGCTAAAAACAAAACACAAAAGAAAATTTAATATGAGCCAATTGAAAATATAATGTTTAATAATTTTGTTCTGATCGGTATTTTTAAAACAAACTATTCATATTTAAATTTCAACTAAATTTTCAGGAATGCATTCATTGAACTTAAATATACATATTGATTCAGCAAAAGTACATATTGCTCTTCTATATATTCTAGTTCAAATTAATTTTTTATTTTTATTATTTATGTTTTGATTGATTGAGGCCCAAGCAGTATAAAAGTACAAATTGTTTTATGAATTCTCTATAGGTTTTTATAAAGATTTTCCGCTATTGTAACATAACTTTTTATTCTGAAAGCAACTGTATGCGTAATCTAAGCAAAGATGACGTATTGTCCCAATGTGTCTGTAGATTGTTCCCTTGAAAGATTTGTCTGATCAACTACGAATCAAATTTTAATGTTTAAATTTTTAAAACTGATTATTTTCAATTGTGGTTTTCTATAAAAGAGACTTGTGCATTTTTACTACAGGAAAAACGATAGATAGAAAAACGAGAATATCTTTCTCATTATTATTCAGATAAACTCTTAGATTTCACTGAATTGGATGTGGGAGGGAACCCCAGGACGCCATGAGCCTCCGCTATGCAGACACGAACCTCCCAGATTTACTATGTAGGCAGACGGAGTCTCAACTATGCAGAAATGAGCATGTGCAATACATCAAAATGTGCGTGTGTAATACAGGAGGTTTTTTTTAAACTTGTGTTTTAAGTTAAATTAAAGATTTTTTACAAATTTTTCGACATAGTGGCATGAGAGGTTTCTCAAAGGTGAGAAGTATTTATTAATTATCATAAATAGTGCCTAATTATGACTAATAAAGTAGTTTATCAAACTTTAAACATTTTTACACGAAAAGAAAAATATTTCAAGAAAAATAAAATAAATTTCACTTCATTTTATCTTTTATAATTTTTGATTTACGTGATACCTTTTTTTGTAGTTCAAATTGAATCTAGAAAATTTGTATCATTTATTTAAATCATTTTTCAAAACAAAGGTATTTTTTAAATTAAAGATTACAAAAAAACAAACTTGGCTCTAATCTTTAATAAAAAAAGTCTTATGCCACTACGTAAAAAAAAATGTTTTAAATTTTCATTACACATAAAAATCAAAATTAAAAAAGCTCGTTTATTGCAAATTGGAGGCACGGTCTGCAGGATTGGTCTGCAGAGTTGAGACTCCGTCTGCCTAGCAAATCTGAGAGGCTCGTGTCTGCATAGCGTAGGCTCATGGCATCCGCGGGGTTTTCCCTCCCACATCGGACTTACCATTTTGGAAAAACCCTTTAATGAAAGGTCACTTACTTGCAAATATTTTTTCATTCCCCTTAAAACAAAGAGAATAGAATATATATTAGAGAATTAATGTACTCTACTGCATATAATTTGTAAACATTTACATTCCACTCTAATATATATTCTATTCTCTTTGCCTTAATAATACAATACCTATTATTTCTATTAAACTTTGATTGAAAATTAGAAATATCTCCGCTCTGTGATCTCCGGAGGTGTGAGGTAGGTTTTAAGTTTCTACAGTTCATTATCAAAATCCTGCAAATACATAAATACGTTTAGAAATGTCGTCTTCGACAGAAACTTCCATTCCCGGAATACAGGGTTACCCGCAATGGGTGAGACTGTAAAGACGACCCTAAACTCTACAGATATGACGATTTGAAGCTTGATTTTTGGATTCTGCATTCAATTAAGTAGCCTTAACTATTTAAAATCATTCTTTGAGTCTAACAATCATCTTCCTTTCACAGAGTTTATGGGTACTGTACTACAGGGTGTCCCAAAAAACATGGGAATTCAGTGACGAATTTGATATCGTCTTTTTAAATAATTCTTTGATTTAGTATAGTGATACCTAATGAGAAAGCTGTAATCTGTAAGAGTTTCGTCTGCTATGTTTACAATTTGTTTGTTTATGTTTTGACTGCATACGGTTGTACTTAGTAAAACAAGAAAATTGCAGTATACAACCAGAGTAAACTTGTCCGTCTTCACTGTTTATCGTGCGGAGACATTATAGACACATCTTTACAGTCTTTTACCGTTTTCATAAAATAAACTCTAGCAGACATAATAATATTATGGCTTTTGAAATTAGGTATTACAATGATT